CTAGTGCTGTTCTATAAAGAAGAAGACACACTAGTATATAATAGTTTAATACTAATAGAAAGCATAGCTACTTTTACTTTAGCATAATAAAAAAATAAAAACTTAATCTAGAAATATTATAAAGCACTAATGTTTAGACACTCTAGAATTAGAACTTTCTAGAAAAAGCTAAAGGTAGCTATCTCTTAGCCTATACCTAAGCTTAAATAGTTGTGCATAGAGGTATTATAAGAATGTAACAACTGCAATTAAAACAACCCTAGACAACATAAACTCTATAAGGCCCTCTAACTAATAAAGGCCTCTAAGCAGCTATAGTCTATAATAACTATAGACTTTATTACTAGCCTACCCCTTTTATAGAAACTAGGATTAGAAAGGCGCTGTAATATAATAGTTATAATAGTTAATAAAACTACTAAGTTTCTACACTTTTAAGCATTAAAAAAATAATAACAGCTAAAGAACCTATCTATAAATTAAAATAATATGTTTTTAGCATTTATAGCACCTCTAAAATTATTATATTAGATTATAATAAGCTATTTACTGCTTACTTCTAGTAGGTAGTAATAAAACACTTAAATATTAACTATAAACTATCTACAGCCTATTAGCCTTAAACAGATAGGCAAACAGAATAAGTAAATGCTAAAATAAAAAAATATTTATAAAAATATGTCTTTTATAAATAGATAAACTAGGCGGAATAGCTGCCTATAACTTAGCTAGCTATTAATACCCTTAAATTATCTGCTATAAAAAAACATCTTATAAAGCTAATTTTAGGTATTACCTGCGCTACACTCTAAAAGGGACATAACTATAGAACTTAGTTAAAGTAGTTAATAAAACAAACTAGTTATAAAAACTGCATTAAAAGTTAGCTAATAAAGCAAAAAACATAAAAAACAGATAAAGAAATAATTAGAAAGGACTTGCTCTAAAGCTCTAAAAATCTACTTAGAGGATTATGTATAGTTAGATACTAAGCACCTGTAGACTCCTAGACTTTTAAAGAAGCTAGTAAAAAAATTAATTAGACCTTATAAAGTGCTATAGACATAGAAAGATAACTATAAACTAAAGCTTTCTTTTATAATAAAAATATACTTATAGCTCTATGTCTCTAGACTTAAAAGAGCCTTAAAACAAATCCTGCTATATACTATAAGCTAAGAGGATGCAGAGACAGAATATAAACTAAAATGAATTATAAGTAGCTAAAAAAAAGACATAGACTTCTTATTAAGTAAAAGAGGTAGCTTACTAGTAAAATTATATAAAAACTAGTTAAGAACTTAATAAACACTTACTAGTTACTAGAAAAATATTACTTACCCTGTTAAGACAAAACTAACTAGGTAAAAGCAGCTCTAACTAGAACACGTTGCCTACAGTAGGCGCTAGCGCTGCGCTATTACTAGATTGCAGCAATGTATAGGAATAAGAACCTAGAGAGGTAGGCTAAGAAGAGGGAAGACTAGTAGCTTCTACCTTAAGTGCTTTAATCTTATCTAGTAATAAAGTCTTTTTTTAAGTACTTTTCCTTCTAACTTTAAAGGCAAGCTAGTTGCTTCTTAAGATAAAGCTTTTTTAAAATAAGAGTAGCCTTTTTTTCATACATAATAATTTTTTTACTTAAACTTTTTCTAGGTCCCTAGATAGTTTTAACTATTCTCTTTCTAAGTAATTCTAGGCAGCATTAGAAATAAAAGTGTTACATTTACTACTTTTTTTTACACACTTAACGCACTTGTCTAACAATAAGGTTAAAACACAGAAAGACTTAGAAAAATAATAAAGATTATAAGAACACATCTTTATATAATAAAAGAGATTAAGGAATAAAGCAGTTTAAAGTTAATAAGTATAAGTTAACTAATAAGGTATACTTTAGCGTTAGAAAAATAAACATTTATAAAGTGTTTATAAAGGGAGACTTATAAGTAATAAAGAATTTCAAACACTTGTAGTAGTGTAGGCAGAGTGGCAAGGACGCTGCTAAGAAGAAAGGCCCACGTGTTACAGTCTATAAGTAGACTAGGCAGAACCCTAACAACATGCCCTACTGTTTAGACAATTAAGCATAGAACCTTTTTATGCTTAAATAAGAAAAGCTAGAGGACCCTGCTATGTTAGCAGGCCCTAAGTATTTAGAATAGGCTATAGACAAATGCGTTGTCTAATAAAGAAGCCCTACTAGTAATTGTAGTAATTGTAAGGATTAGCAAGCTAAGGCTGTAATTACTACACAATACATTATAGTAATTGCTAGGATTAGTAAGCTAAGGCTATAATTACTATACTATAGTAAAAGGTATATAAGGCCTTTATTAATTAACCTTTAAAAGGTGTAATTAAAGTTTAGTTTATCTTTATAAACTAAGTAGTATTCTAGCTTTTTAATAAGCTGCAATACTAGTTATATATCTTGCACTATATATACCTCTATTCCTGTTCCTACAAACTGTTAAACTAAGCGCCTTATACTGCTGTCTAAGGTTAAACCACGATCCGGCCGACCCTACTATTCCAACCGTACCCGACCCACACCAAGGACCGCGCATCCAAGGTAGGTTCGCCTTCTCACCTCCAATTCCCTTCTCCGGTCTGTATGCTCGTGGCATTCCGATAAAGGGACCCTATTAAGCAAGGATTATAACAACAAGGCAGGTTTAGAGTATTTTTAAAGTAGTTCCTCTAGAAGAGCTTTCTTTCTAACATTATTACTTATTAGTTAAATAGTATAAGAGGTATAGTAAAGTATATATATAGTTATTTTAGGACTAAAATTTTTTAAAAGCTTTTTAATAAGTACTAACTAAATTTTACTATTATTACCTTTTACTACTTAAATATACTATTTTTAAAATAAATTTTAAATTTAGCGTTTTATAGCTAAAGATACTTTAAAATTCAGTTATAACTTAAAAAATTAGCTAATAAAATTTTTTAAAAGCTAACTTTTTTATTAGTACTCTTATAATCTATATAAATAAAAGAGAGATTATATAGCAATTCTAACTATAATTAGTAATTATTAATAGAGCTTACGTTAGGCTTTTTATAATTGTGCTTACATAAAAGGCTATATTTTTAAATAACGCTAGTGTTTATAAGGTTTAATTTAGCACCTATGTTATAAAGACTATAAAAAATAGTTAATCAATGCTTAAAAAGTTTTAGCTGCACTTTAACTATAATACAAAGCTGTTTACTATTTAATTTAGGCTTTAGTTATAGGCGTGTAAGATTTACAACTAAAGCTTTTTCTTTATACTATTATTACTCTTTTAGTTAAATTAGTTTTTTTAGTAAAGCTTATAATTACTAAAGGTCTTTTAAGATGTTATTATAGCAGTATTAGTCCTCTATACTAAAGACTATTAGTTGCTTTGTAATTAGCTTATAAGCTTTTAATTTTAATTTTAATTTTTTCACCTTTATTAAAAGTTTAAGGTAGAGTAGAACTACTTTTTTTTCTATGTTAAAGCATTTTTAGAGCTGCCTAAAGTGTTAGTAAAGCTTACTTAAAGCAAGTAATAGTTTTAGTGTTATGTATAGCATACTTAAACTCTAGCTAAGTGTTTATAGACTTAAGTAAGCTATTATACTATATTTCCTTTTAGATAAATTCTAAAAAGAAGCTTTATATAAAACTAATTTTAATGTTATAACGTTTCTTTTTACTAGAAGTTTAATAAGAAGCGTGTTTTAGAAAGCCTTTTTACTAAAATAGCTAACATACTCTATAGGCAAGTTGCTTACACACCTAAGTAGCTTACTTTTACTAAGACCCTACTAAACTACTTTTTCTATACTAATGCATTTTTAATAACACTACTTAAATGTGCTAAAAGAACATTAGATACAGCTTACACTTTAGGCTTTTAAATAAAATGTAACATACTTAAAGTAACATGCTGCAGCTGTGTATAGGGTCTTTTAAAAGATAATAAATAACTAAAACACTAGTTAACTTTTATAAGCTAATTTTATAGCTAACTTATAAAAGCTAGGTAATAATAAAAAGTAGGTAATTATTAAGCATATACTTAAGCTATATGCGTAAGGATTTTCCTCTTAGCTAGTAGCTGTAGCTAATATAGCTAATTTTTTACACACTAAGTATAGTCTAGGCTATATTAGCATAAACTAGCCTAGTATATTTATAAAGCATTATTTAAAGCTTAAAGTAAAGTTTTAAGTATAAGTATAGTTAGTAAATATTTAGTTTATTATAAAGTCTATTTTACTAAAGTTATATGTGTTGTTATTTTAGATACTATACTTAGCTTTAAATTACTTTAAAAATTTCATAAAAAGCTTTTTTATAGTTATAATTATACTTAAACTTTACTTTAAGCTTTAGATAACACTTTATAAACATACTAGACTTGTTTATACTAACATAGCCTAGATTATGCTTAGTGTGTATAGAATTAGCTATATTAGCTATAGCTACTAGCTAAAAGGAAAATTTTTATATATATAGCTTAAGTATAAGCGTAATAATTACGTACTTTTTATTATTACTTAGCTTTTATAAGGTAGCTATAAAATTAGCATATAAAAGTTATTTAGTGTATTAGTTATTAATTATTTTTTAAAAAACTTTATACATAGCTATAGCATATTACTATAAAAGTATTATGTTTTATTTAAAAGCTTAGAGTGTAAGCTATATTTAATATTTTTTTAGCATGTCTAAGTAGTGTTATTAGAAATGCATTTCTATAAAAAAAGTAGTTTAGTAAGGTCTTAGTAAAAGTAAGCAACTTAAGTGTGTAAGCAACTTGCCTGTAGAGTATATTATTAGGTTTAGTAAAGAGACTTAGAGTTTCTTACTGTTGTAACATTACACGTTGTTGTCTCGCAAGTGTTTTAGTAGGGAGAGTGCAGCGCTTGGTAGAGTGTGGCGCTTTATAGTGAAATGCATCAGTTTCTTTATAAAACTAACAAATAACTCCATAAAAATAATCTAGCCTATATAATGTATGTGTTGCGTTTGCCAAAAGGTCAACCTCCCAGCTAGCACAGCAGAAGGATATATGTAGACGGATAGCTGTACGCGACACACCCCCCAGCTCAAACTGTGGAACAAAAGAGGTGAAACATGGTGAAACAACCTCAACACACCCTCCCTAGCCTAAGCAACAGAACTTAGAGACAGATCTAGTAAGGTAGCCTCTGTAATAGACGCACTGCCTAAATGCTCTTTGCTAAGCGTAGGAATTAAACACGCAGTGCTTAGGGATAATGTGATCCTACTAGTGGAGTAGGGAGAGCAGGGATGCGAAAATTTTTGTGCGCTAACTATCTACACTACGCCGCGAACTAGGCTTATAACTGTTGCGTTTGCCAAAAGGTTAACCTCCCAGCTAGCACAGCAGAAGGATATATGTAGACGGATAGCTGTACGCGACAGTATGTTTAAACCTGATTTCATTAAATTTGTTATAGAACTTTTAGCTTATTTTAGAAGATAATATAAAGAGAAATAAACTAAACAACACCTTTTCCTCAAGCTTAATTTTATAACCATGTAGTTTATGTTGAAGTAATCTATTAGTAACTGCTAGATAATTCAAAGGGGGAGCTACAATATATTTTTTAAAACTTTTCTTAATAGCATAGTATACCTCTCTAGGGCCGAGGCTTTCAGTTATCGCCAACCTGGGAAGCTAAAAACAACCGACAAAGTCTATCAGAACATCATGGTGGTGATTGATTGGGGTCGAAACAACGACACGTTATTAGTGGTTGATCCATAGAAGCGAAATATGTCGCAAACCTATTGCTCCGCCATGTTTAGAAACATCACGGACTTCCCGAGGCCATTGCTTCTGGTCAAGGGGCAGTTCACATCAAGGTTATGGCAACGGACATGCGAAAGACTACATTACCACAAAGCTCTACCGCCTTTCATCCTAAAACTAATGAGCAATTAAAATATTCGAACCAAATTCCCAAACAGTACTTTCAATCTTACGTGAACTATCTCCAAGACGACTGGGTGAACAGGTCTCATTCCATCGGAATCATGCCCCGCTCCTTGGAACAGAAAGTAGCGCACTGTATTTGACGCCTTTGGGAAGACATACCCAAATGGGTAATGAACCTACCAACGTCAGCACAGCTGCTGAATCTAACGTCGCTTGTATGTAGTCGTTGTATATCTGCTCAAGACCCGTATCAAGTTGTCCTCAAACGTAAAACTGCCGGCGAATTATTACTGTAGTGATTGTCTCTCCCAGCATAGCAGGGAACAGCATAATTTGCTATCAACAAAGAGTGGATTGGTTCAACTTGGGCTTTGAGCGTGTGTATCGTACAAAAGAAATACGTGAAATCAAAATCCAACCTCAAGCAGATATCTCTGGAAATTAACTGACTATTTCCAATTTAAGTACCCTTGGGGCGACCAGGAAGTGCATCGAGCCCTGTAAGATATATTGTTAGCTCAGCGGCTCCGGATAGTAGTAGGCAGCGGGAACTCACATCCGTCAATGTTTTCATTGACTACGTTCTTTGCGCTGCACTTGTTCATCTCGGCGACAGACTGAGACTTGAGGGGCTTTCCATTTTCGCAGGCCGTGAACATGCAAGAAGAATTCATGGCACGCTGAAGCGAATCGCCTTTCCAGCCAAACATGTAATCAGCGTGGGTACCATAGGCATGCCCCTCAGTGTCACCAAAGCTGAAGACCAAAGGATTTGACCCATCCTTAGGCCACATACTGGTAAACTGGGTTGTGTCCCAAAGAGTTTCGTAGGCTAGTTGTGGCATGCGGACGGGATGAGTAGATGGGCATGCGGCACCAGCTGCGAACCCCGTTGGTTGCGTGTCATACATATGAGATTGGTGGTCGGGGCTATCAAGGTTCTTGCCATCCCAGCATCTAATCATTGTTAGCAAATGGACGTACATGAGTGGGAAAGGGCTGCTAACGCAGGAAAGTGGTGTTCGGTCATAAGGCCTCCTTTGCATGCTTGTTTAGGGAAGTCCGAGATCTCGGGAAATCTCGTGTTTTTATTTTCTAGGCAGGTAAATCGAAGTCCTTTGTGCTTGGTCAGGCCATCTGCGCCCTGCATCGGGCTACCAACGGTCATACGGAAGCCCTATCGTGAATTATTAGTCTCCGATGATGAAATGCTAGAATACGTACTGGTTTGAAGGCGGTGATGTGTTGTTTCCCATTCGTGTTAAAATCTTGCTGCGTATAATAGATGGTCATTCCACCATTAATACCAGCAGGCAATGCAGCATTCTCCATAATTGGTACACGCTTATACGAGCCATTCTGATGCTTGAAGAATAGCACAGCAGTCCAATAGTTGGAAAAGTCCTCAGAGAAGGTACATGTTGTGCAGGAACCTTGTTCGCCAATGTCGCCATTCATAACGGGGCCGAAGGCATTTCCCCCAACAACCTGATGAAGATGTGCTGAGGGGGTGTTTCCAGGCTCCACGACGGGATCGAGACGTTGGATGGTTACGGTACTGCATCCAAATCGAAGGGCAGCCTTAGAGGGTGCAAGAAGCGCGACAAGCGCAAGGGCGTGAGCAAGGCCCTTCATCTTGGGCGAATCCGAGGAGAAGTTAACGATAAGTGCTAGTTGACGATGATATGCTCAAAAGCAGGCGACGAGCTGTGATGCAGTGCGCGCGCGACGATGTGGAATTCTTAACCACTGTTATCACTAAACCTCTCATGCTGGGAAACCTTACCGTTGATCGTCCGTCTAGGATAGGTGGTGCCGAAAAATTCATTCATCATCTATTCAAATGAAAGCCCAAAGGCCCCGGCAATAGTACCAATTATCCTGAAAATCCATGTGGAAGTAAGGATGCATTAGAAGGTGTCTTGCTTAGACCGTCCTCTCCCCGCTCGATAGATTGTTATCCTAGGAGCATGGTCGCCGTCCTATCCCAGAGCGGGATTTAAACAATGTAAACCAGGAACTGCCCCATCCACACATAAATGCCGAAACGTTTAATTACCGAATGTAGCGGTACCACTGTGGTCCAGAGATGGACTTCACAGCAAGATATTCACATACTGTAGTAATGGGCTATAATGATACGGAAAGAATTCGGCGTGTTTCGTCGGAATATGGCCATTCTCATAGTATCTAACTCTTACTAATGATAGTGAAGGTCCATATTTTGCAAACAGACTATATCCTTCCTCCTGGCAACTTTCACCAGCACCAGTACACTGATCTTTAGGTTGAAGGCCTCGAATTGTTATGATTACGAAGCCGAAACCTTTCCAGAGTGCCCCTCTTTTACGGCATTCATGGTGTGCAGCCCTTTAAGATTCCTCGTCTCTTATTCGCGTTCAGGGACCATGAATGGAGGAAGGCTTACGATCAATCATCAGGCCGCTAATTGTTATTACTATACAAAACTGGAATGTTCCTGACATGTTGATCATTGTACAGGGATTATCTTTATGACGTCATGGACGTCATAGCGCAGCTTTACTGTTTCCAACTGCCGAGCCGTCACAGGGTCAAACATTCATCTACTTAAATTAAGAGGAGTTGATAGTCAAATTCTTCATTAATTCTTCTGAGTGTATTGGGAAGTCGCTAAGATAAAGATCTCAAATCTGCGGCACTTACGGTTTGTGCTATCATCGAAGTATCCTATCCAATCCAGAAGCTCTTGAATTGCTCAGCGAAGGGGCTCTAGTATTTTATGGTTTCTAGAATGCCTGCTCCTCCAAGGAAGTCGCTTCGGTACTGTTTTTTTTTTTACAAGGCGTTCATGCCCAATAATTAAGATGCTTCGGCATTTGAAGGGAGGGTGGCAGTTGAATCGGGTAAGACAGCTTTGGAGCTCCGGGCGCGGCATGGCGTGTACAGTAGGTTTAAGAATAAGTTTCATTTTGTAGGGTTGAGTTGGTGCACATGGCTCGGCGCTGGCTCGGCGCCATGAACAAGGTAAGGCCGTAGGTAAGCTTTTCGCTAAACTTTCCGCCCCAAGCTGCGCTGAGATTAGTGACGAAAGGTCCTTGACATGAGAGAGAGTCTATGCCTGAGGAAGCCGAGGGCTCACTGGCAACCTCGCATCTATATTCGGATGTCGGGACTTGCGGGATGACGAACCTGTCGTACGAAATGATGAAAATTCAGGAGCTGGACACTAAAGAACTCGTGCGCCGATGGTGACCCGTACGGCAGTCCACGTAGATATTCGAAAATCGAGAATCGCTTCAATCTACCTTGCTGTATTTTTTTATGTCCAATTACTAAGCAGGTACATCTTTTCCTTCTTCTATAAACAAACCAAAAATTCCGCTTCCGAGAGCCTGGCACTGTCTAGCAGGGACATTCCTTCTTTCAGTTACGCCAGTTTGCCATCATAATGAGAGAATATGTAGCTTAAGGGCGTAGCCCCTCTAGCCCCGCGTTTTGCCCTCGTATTCTTTCAAAAGGAAGTTCTATGAATGTACAACCTTCTCGATATACCAACGAACTCCGTATAACCCGAATGCAGTGTTTCTTGAAATCCACAACAGCTTTCGAATTTTGATTCCCTTTTCTGTGTCCCTTATGATATAACCGGGATCACATGATAGCCTAATACAGATAACTACTACTGGCTGAATATATCAGCCTATTATCCTGTCCCCTCATATCCATAATAAATTACCTTCCGACGGTTCCTAGTTACATGCAGTAACTGGGTAGTGTAGAAACGCTTCAGCTTGTACCGATTGTGATATCTTTCTGGCCTCGAATACTACCCCCGGATCACAAAGGAAGTATAAGTTTAAGCAACCTATGACCGTATTACAAGCCTCTACTCCAGTGCACACAACATCTGGCAATTAATCGAGTTTGATCGGGCAGGAATGGTAGTCAGAGTTATTTGAATCGAATCCACCCAACTTATAGATCCCTTTTTAATAGGTTTCCCTCTTCTCTTACCCAAGGACATATTTTTGAAGATAGGGGTTTGACGTATGGCTCTCGTAAGAGCGAGACTACCACGAATGTCATGTGAGGTGACGACCGGCCCTTCTCGCCCCTCTTGCCCACAAGGCTCCATTACCGCCAATATCAAATAGTCTTGCTTCCACTGCTAGCCCTCCCCTAGTGCAGAGAGAACCTGGTTAGAGCTTTTACATTTTGCTCTTTCTCCTAATATTATGGTACTGTGAAAGAGTGGATATAACACTGCTTGTCATGTGTAATACCGGGAAAATTAATTTTAGCTCTAGATATTTAAATACAAACTCTAGCTAAGAACCATGTAGTCATTTCAGGGAGGAGGACGTTAGCTGCACTTCTTCTGTCGACAAATGAAGCAGCGCGGAGATTTGGGAAGCCATGAAGTCCATGCTCTAGTGTTACCACTGAGTAGAAGAATGTTACGCATACTGTCTGGGGTTTCGAGTGGTAGGTCTGTGACAAGTGATCTGTCCCCAGAGCGGACATGGAAGCTCGTCTTCCGGAGCAGCAGATGATTCACTCGGGGCTGCGCTACATAGGCTTTTCTCTCCGGTGTCAATCAAAATCTTTCCGCAAAGGGCATGTAGTTTGGTGAAAGGGGAGCGGTGGTGTGAAAAATTCATGAGGTTACAGGAGTCAACGCTCGGGTTCTCCAGGGAAGTCCTCCGCCTCAACCCAGCTTTGATTAGCGATTCCATGGGCAGAAAAATACGAGAAGTGTGAGAAGAGGACACATCATACGCTCTGTTCGATATTTCGACTTCCACGTGCCGTGAGCCGTATCGTTAACACTCATATAGAGTGTTGGCTTTCTGACTGATACACATAGGTCTGCAATGACATCGCGGCCTTGAAAACTTACATGCCTTCGAAGGCACACGATTTATGGGCGATAGAAATTAAAGGGGAAGCTCTGCAGGGGAAGTGAGGCTCCATGTAACTAGTGTTTGAGACGAAAGAAGTAAAATTGAACATTCCGAATCCTAATACAGAATTCGATTCCCGCCGAACATAACCAAAAATTCAAATTTGAAGTGATAGATATACAATTTGTTTACCCTTTTAATGACGGAAAATATGCAGAAAATGCCTATCAACTCGCTCGAATATTTGAATTCGATGCCAGAATGGCTTCGGCGCCATTGATTTCTTCTTTGGGGGTTGATCTTTGCTCCGGGTTGCCTTGACATCTCTCTCAGCAAGCTGATATATACGATAGGTAATTAACTCCTGTAGGGCTCTTTCCACCTTTTTCTTCTCGTCCTTCTCACCGCCTTCGAACTCAACCGCTTCATGGAATCTTTTCTCCACTTGCGTGGCAGATTTTGGTTTCTTTTTTAACTCACACAACCATACATCTGCATCGTACAGGTCAACCATCCAATTCGCCACGCGAAGCTCCTCTTTTTTCATCTCAAGCTGTTTCTCCAGTTGAGCGTACTGTGGCGTGTTCATAGCTTCTTGGAGAGCTTGTCTGGCTGCATGAACTTCTCCGTCCTTCTGTACTACGGCGCCCTTAAGTTCATCTCGATCTGGGTCTAGAGGGAGCATTAATTACATATTTACTATGAATGAAACGAACTGAAAAAAAGATCACTTACCAGGTTCATTTTCGATGTCTATAAAGAGGTTCGGAGGCGAAATCAATTGATGCCTTACGATCGAGTGGGTCCCAATCACCATGTCTACTGGTGCACTTTCCGAGACGAGGAATCGCATGTTTCTAAAAACCTTGGAACTGGTACAGTGGTACCAGGAAACGTGAATGGCGCCCGATACGTTGTGAATATTTCCCGAGGCAACAATCCCTCCGTTCCTTTCTCTTGGTTTCAGAGACTTGAATTGGGTGAAGCCAAGGCGATGCGCAAATTCGATAGATATGATATTTCCCTGCAAGCATGCTGTATCCAACACACATCTCCCTTCTTGGCGCTCAACAACATCAGATCCTTGGCATGGAAAGACCGAAACAGTGAGGAAGAACGGACACTCAGTCTTGTCGTCAAACATCTACAACCTTAGCTTTAAGATTTTATTATGCTCCATGGCACACTAACCTTTTCGTCTGCATCCTCCAAATCTGCAATCTCCGCGGTCGCGGTCAACTTCGGCTTCACTTTACCTGGCCCAAGGAAGAAACCTTTGACACAATCCCACCATGATAGACTGACTACTGCAACTTGGGTCCTTCTTCGATGGATAGCAGCCGGGTGTTTAATTATGTCAGGGTCTTCTTCGATCAATGTATAGGTTGAGGACGCGACGGATGAGCAGGAGCGTCTAGGATCTGCTCCACCAGACGGAATCGAGAGGTGCTGATGATCTTCGCTTGGATTGCCATCTTCTACCGGCTCGTTAGATCTAATCAACGGGCAGGGGAGGCCATACAGGATTCACCTGGTTCAGCGACACTCATCTTGTAGTATGATCGCAATGACTATTTTCTTGCACTAGGTTGGGCTCAACTTGAGGAAGAGGATTATTGGAGTTTGCTTCTCTAAAGGTCAGGATGGAATGACTGAAATTTTATCTTAGGATGGTGACGACAGGCAGCCATCCCTCTCCTACTACTTCTTCCGATCTAAGCCTTTTGTCACCGCTATAGGATGCGACATGATTAGGCTTCACCCCATCGACATCGTAAAATCGCGTTTTGATCTACCGTGATGGCTTCACAGGTCATCCGAACAGGTGGGGTGTCTTTGGCTATGGATGTCGCAGCCACCGCCATGGCGTTTGTTTGGGGTGATTGTGCGGTAGGATAGGTCGGCCAGAGGGCAATATTTCTGATTTCTCCTCTCGTCTCTAGATTGGGAGTAGTGATGTAAACTTAAAATAGCCAGAACAAGCATAAGACGGTAGTTCCTTGACTTCAAGATTGGTTTGATCATCTTCCTTCCCCCTCCCTCCCACCTCTTCAGCCTGCTCACTATGTCGCCGCCACTTGACCCCTCGCCTCCACAGGATTTTAAATTCGCCCTCCAACAGCCTATCTGTAGCTCTGAAGAAGGATCGCACCGCAGGGTTGTACGGCGAAATACCAGACATGTCTAAGATGGCGATGCGCAACATGCCTCATCATCGGCCTTAGACTCTCACATTCAGCGAAGTAGCGGGCCGAAGTACGTCTTCCCGATAGTAGTCCGGGGAGGTGCAGGACGACGGTCTCGCCGGTTCGCTCCGATGGTCCAGCTCGGCATTTGACGATACAGTCCTATCGCCTAGTCAGTCACCTCATTTTCATGAGCGCAGTCGTTTTTTCTGATCATGAGCTGGTGAAGCCATGACACCCTTGACCTTGGTCATTCCATCTTCTGATACCGTACATAATTTTCTAGCGAGATACCGGGACATGCGATCCGGAGATGTGGACTGAGAAAAAAAATACAGCTGCTTGAAGATCGAAAGCTGTTGATTGGCTACGTCGGTAAATCAAACACTCACCCAATCAGATCTTTCGACCTCTCGCTCACTCTGTTCCGATAACCCCAACGTTGATGGACCACAGAAGATACTCTTTTTTGCAGGCCTTTGCGACAAATTGGCCCTCCCCTAATCGTCAGCGCCCTATAGATCCGCAGAACGAGCTTGAAAGACCTGAGAAAGGCGAAGCGGATCTCCAACCGACGCCATCAATCCAGCCTCGCCGACGACTCAGAATGAACGACTTGCGGAGGCTTTCAGGGGAGAATAGGGATGAATGAACGGCAGCCGAATGGATGCGAAAGGTGATCATGAGAGAGTCTTATTAAATCCGTGCTTCTCGATCTGCGCAGGGGACCCAGCCGCGAGTCAAATATTTATTTGGTGGGCAAATTGTGCATTATGTTGCAAGCATTCCCCCGCCATACTTGAAGAGTCAACGTCCGCGAAGCGAATCAACTAGATAGAGATGGGAAAAGATGGGAAAAGAGTCAAATCTTTAGCTGGGGTTGCTGCATATACTGGAAGCTCATTTCAGTCTGCAGAAGGTAGGCTGTGCTTCCGAATAGAGCCTGCAGAGCTTTCCGTTGACGTGGCGAGACCTAGAGTCGTAGTCCCGAGCGGCCAGATCTTATGGATCCAGCATCTTCTCTAGATATTATTCAAGGGCCCCGTCTTCCGACATATTCGCTCCTCATCCACGCCGCCACCATCAGGTCGATCACCACTCTCCCTTTGGGTTCCCATATCTTCTAGCAGGAGAGATGTCGATGGAGCCCGCCTCAGGTCCGCTGCATCGGCACGATACCAATTTTTCAGCTACTTCCACAATCGCCCCTGCTGCAAATCCACCTGTAACGCAAGTGGCCAGTATGAACCCTATTGAGCTCGATGGTTTAACCCACTCAACACCCCGCAACGGGAATGGCAGCCCTAGCAGTGGTTTTGTTGGATATAGGACGTCGGCGGCCCAGAACCACCATGAGCCTATTGAAGGCTGGCCTCGGCTGGCGTCCTTGATGGCCCAAAACCAAGATTTCGCCGCTTTCCCAAGATTCAAAGAGCTGAATGTTAAAAGCTTGTTATATTACCAGTGCCAACTAGCAAGGTTCAAGAAAAAACTACTCGATCTTGAGTGGGAAGATGCTCCAAGGGAAGAAAACTTCCCGATGTTTGCCGACGAATTGGTAATAAGCGACTCGGAGCAGTTCAAGACGGTCAAAGAAATGAGAGTAGTACTAAAGGAATACAGTAAGTCACATTTTAATAGCATTAACTCCATCTCGTGGAACACAGACTGAACCGCTGTAGACGAAGCTCTGCTTCTGTTCTCAAAGATATGCTCCCTCCCTGACCCGGAGCCTTTCAACATGCGGACTCTCCGAAAGTGGCTGAAGCACAGGGACTGCGGCAATTGGACGGTTCGCAGTACCGCTGGCCTTGGACTGGAGAATACGTGGGGCAATATTTATGCGAATGAACCTACACCAAACCTTTTGAGATGGTCCGCAAGGGTTCTACTGGGCTTAGTTTGGAAGTTAGAACCAAAGGATAAACCTGCGTGCAAGGGCTTAGCTTGGACGGCGCCCCAGATCAAAACAGACGGTTTAACACAATGGGCAGTAGCTGAATTTATGCCCTGGTGGAGAGCCTTGCATAAGAAGACACAGGGAGGGCAGCATTTAACAAAAGGTTTGGTATACTGGTCAGAAAGGCCCGCTTTGAGAGCGACAGGAATACTATCGACCGTGCTCGCATGCTTACTTCCAACCGTTTCAGTTTGGGTCCTTGCGAAGGTTGATGGACTCAACAATTTGCTCTGGTGTGTCACTGGATTTACCTTCCTCTTCGTCTTAGGGTTGATTTTCCTCACTCAAGGGGAGAGCACGAGGACTGAGATCTTTGCCGCAACTGCAGCGTAAGTTCTTCAGTGACTTGCAGGCAATATTGGCTAATGAAATCCTAGATTTTCGGCAGTACTGGTGGTTTTCATCTCAGAAGCCTAGGGAGTCAACATCCAGACCGAGACTCATGAGAGGAAATTGTACAATAAACTCAATGAATGACCTATCCGTCTTAATTGAACATATTTAACCCGCTGGGTATACGTGGACTGAAATATTTTGTTCAAATCAATTCCTAACTTCTGGGTTAGGGCAGTGGACAGATCTTGTATACGTTTATCGACTACTTGCTTGTAAAACACGTTAACTACTTACTTAGTTTACTGCTTTTAAAACTAATTAAGCTTAACTTTTATAAGTATATTTTTATAGAATTAGCTAAGCTTTGTTAATAAACTATAAAAAGCGTTTTTAGGCTAAAGTTAGAAATATTATAAAAAATAATATATAAGCTTTAACATACTCTACTATTAAAGAATATATACTATTAAGTAATTTTAAAATCTTTTCGTATAACTATTACAATTAGCATGCTTAAGCTATAAGAAAAAGTTAGTAGTGTAACTAAAATAGATTAAACTAAGAAGCAAAGGTGCTGCTTTTAAAAAAGGTTACACAATTGCTAAAGCCTAAGCAAGACCCTAGGCCTGAAGAGAGAACTAGCTTCTAAAATGTAGCGTAACGTATAGTTAGAATAACTAACTTATCTTAAAGACTATTACATTAAGTTATATTAAATAAAAAACCTATGTTTGTTATAGTTCTTTAAAATTTAGATAATTTTTCTATCTTTTTTAATAGGTTTAAATATTATATTCTATGTTTTTATAGTTTTTATAGTATAAAGGCTTACTTAAGCTTTTTTTAACTACTTTACTATAAGCCTTTTTAAACAGCGAGTAGGCTATAGACACTATAGCAGCTACTTAATTACTTATTTTACTAAACTTTATAGTGTTAATTGATTAAAGATGCTTTTCTTTATGTAACTTTTATTTAGTTAGCGTCTATACTTACCCTTTTAGCTTACAGATGTACGTAGTCTAAAGTATATCTTTGTATAGCGTTATTTTAGCGCTTTTAATAAGCTAGAAGAAGATAGTTCTAGTTGCTAAAGTTAACTAAATTAGATTCTACTTAGTGTTATAATCTTAACCTATTCTACTACTAAGCTGGTAACTTTAAAACATATATAAAAACCTATTTCAAAAGCAGCTCTATCTTTAGAACTATTAATTAAAATACTATTTGTAAGGTTAAATATCCTAGAACAGGCTAGTATGGCCTCACTTGACCTGTTTAGGGGCCACATGACCTGTGCTTCGTACATAAGCATGAATCCTAACAAGCGAAGCTTAGCAGCGATTCGTCTCTCTTACAATACACTTCTATCTTTCTCCGAAACCTTGCTCTCAGTGCTATCCGTGCTACCTACTATCCTATCTTTACAATATCAACTTTTTAAAAAGAGATGTATATATATATATATATATATATAGCTTATCTATAGATAGAATTTTAAGGTTTTGTAATTAGTAGGTATAGGGATATTAGAGATTAGAAGCTAAAAATAGTTTTTTTTTAAATAGCTTACTACTTATATAAGCTAGAGCTTACATATTCTAGAATAATGTTATTTGTTTAGGTGCAGGTTTATAGAAAAATTCCTAGAGCATTCTAACTAGTAATTTTAAAGATAGAGCTGCTTACTAAGTAGGTTTTTATATATGTTTTAAAGTTGTCTAGCTTAGTGGTGTTGCTAGCTTTATAGTAGAATATATTAAATTATTATTTAAATTTAAGTATATTAGTTACTAAAAATTTTAACTACTATAGTGTCTTTAGTATAGACGGCTCTAGTAGAGTGTGTAGTGATGCTTTAAAATGTTTAAAAGCTTTTACTAGGTTTAAAAAAACTAACTTTAACTACTACTCTAGAAGATCTTATTACATACAATATTCTACTTATATATATTCTTCTGCTATGCTTGCTAGAAGGTTAAGCTTTTAGTAATGCAATATTTATAAGCCTAGTTTAGATAATATTTTGAATAGGTTTAAATTAGTCGGCTTGATAGCTTAGCTAGCTTAATAGTAGATTACTTTCACCTTAGTTACTTAAAAACATAACCTTAAATATGCTTCTAACACTTGCCTAAAGATATCTAATTGGGTTTTATATTACTAGGAAAAATTAACCTTTCAAAGCATACTACAGCTGATAATAGGGTGTCTCTTTTCCTGTAAGTAACAGCTTAACAAGATCCTACGTCCTTACTCCTCAAGCTACTGCGACGTTCACGTAGTACGTATATGTGCTACTTACTGTTGACAGTTCTGATGGAGCACAGCAGGCCAATGTTCGTCTGGAGTCCAAGTCAGTCCGTTTTGTCGATATGAACACGGCTGGACTGTATATCCGTCCTGACTAGCATGGGTTTGAACTGCAATCCTTCTGGGCCTCATTAGAAGATGATGACTTTAGGTACGAGGACACTATGATTCATAGGCATTATCCAGAACTGGAAGGCTTGGTACTGACGTGCTCGGCCCTGCCTTGGATCAGGTGTTCTTTCTCAACATCAGGTGAGCAGTGGTGTGTCTCTTGATGTGAAGATTACGCTGTAGTAGCGAATCATACGAGTTACGTGCGAGAAGCAAGCAGTTTTCCGAGCTTGTGCTCGAGGAGATCAAGACTCTGCAGCCAATTCCGAGGGTGCATTCTGGTAGACACAGTGACGGATTTCCGGTCGTGTAATGCGTTCCTTTCGTTAGCAGACTACTCACCAAAAGGCACAATTCCGCAGCTGGAGTATATATTTTAGAAGAACGAAGTCCTACAGCATCGTGACTTCCAGATCATGAAGTGAGTTCAATTCCCTTGTCATGCCAACATTGATGACGGTCTGCACTGTCTGGAGAGTCCTCCGAGGTCCGAAAAAGGACTGGCCATTGGCAGTATGCGATCACAGAACTCTCGCTCTCAAGAATGGTGTGGAGTCCTGTGATTTTGTTGGGCGTGAATATGTAACAGAAGGGCTTGAGTTCTACCATCGCCCAATTCATGTCTAGTATTTTGTGGAGGACCAAAGGTCCAACGAGGTGTTTGTGTTCAACAATTGTCATAGTTGCTTGATGGACGCTCCATGTACGGCTCCTCTGATATACTCGATTCTATGAGCAGAAAGACTGACTAGCCGAAGTTGCCACCCATGCGGCGCTCGACAGCCATCCTGAGGGACAGTAAACGTTCCAAGAGAGAGTTCCTCAGCTAGAAGAGTCTTGAAGCAGACTATAAAAGAATAGGCACTATCCGACTGAGGAAGTACAAGCGGTATTCTTCCTCTTAATGTCCTTGCCTCCATTTGTTAAGGCCCCATGGCTTTGATGCAGCCGACCGCATTAGCTACAACTGAGTTCGCATAATGCTGTGAGTGCCTCCACTCTTTTAGGCAATGTTGTCTAGCAGCAGGCTGCTCTTGCATTTAGAAAACTCTGGTTGTTGAGAAAGACACTGATCTGAACGAGGGGAGCGTGAGTGTTAGCAGTTGTAAGACTACTTCTAATCTTGCCCAACAACTTGCCCAGTTCGTTACGACGCAACATCAACTTCGAGCTTTCGCAATGGTTGGCTTCATCTAAGTCGCTCTTCGTAGCGTCCAACAACCTATAAACATGATGTAGCAAGCAACACTAAAGTCCGTGGTGAAACGACTGTCCAGCCAGCGTCGAACTGTAGACTTGCAGCCTGCTGTCTTTACTCTTGCAGGTACTATTGTCTTTAAGGTTTCCAGATTAGAAATATAAAAATGCGCACGAATATCTGGTTGCGAAGGACGCCTAAGGATGAGAACGGAAGCAAGCAACGCTAAGATGAGCTGAGTGGATGCGAGCGCCGTCGAGATCATGGTTATGTGCATGATGCTCATCAGCAGAGGCGTTGCTACATTTAGATGCATAGGTACAATAGGTGCCAAGAAGTCATCATCCTCTCGCTTAACTTACTATATCGGGTCAACCCACACACCTCAAAATTTTCCGCACCACTCGTTCTCCTCCTTCTCCACACTACCACCATGCCTTCCTAACCTAAAACTGCTCGCCGTGAATACAATAAGCCTACCCTTACTAGCATCTAGGCGCTCTCTTGTATTAGTTTTAGCCCTTTAAAGATATAAAAGACTTTTCCTATTCTAATCCTATTAATTAAGTTAATACTTAAGTAGTTGCAAAAATGTAAGAATAAGCCCTAAAAAAAGGCCTGTTGCATAAGGAAACCCCTAAAGCTTAATAAGCGCGCAGAGTGATAATTAGTACAACACTTAAAGCAGTTTTCCTTTAAAATGTATAAAGTACTTGCTACTTCTAAAAAAATAACAACTGCAATCTGCGTTAATATAGTAAAGTAATACCTATAAAAAAACAAGTACTATGCATTTAAACTGCGCGCTAAGCTCTACCTTAAGCCTTCCTATAAGCTTAATTATTATTGCTAGGGTGCCTATATAAAAACCTAGGATAATAATAACTTTAAATGTGTCTGCTTCTTTAATAAATTAACTTTTAAAGTAGGACTTATCTCTACTACCTAATACTATAAGTAGAAGAAGGGGGCATTATGTGTGTATAAATCTTAATACTTAAAGCTTACTTTTAAGAGTAGGAGAAGCTTTGTTAGAGTATAAGCAGCTATATTCTAGGATTTTAAGTTAGAGCTAGTTATACTGCTTTAAGGCAAGTAGATAGACTTAAGAAGATACTATAATAAAGTCTTAGCTACTTACACACAGCTATTTTATACTAAAGTCTTTAAAAAACACAGTATTATGTTATAGTAAAAAAATAAGGCTTTATACTATAGGTTAAAGATAACTGCAGGTTTCTAAGAAAAGCTTTGCATAGATTATATAGTGTAGCTAGCATAAAGTTTTAATTTAAATCTTATTAAGAACCTTTAGCGCATTATAAAAATTTAGATTTTAAAAAAAAGACACTAAATAAGTAATATTAAAAAGATAGAGTCTATCCTAAAGGAGGAGTAGGATAGGTTAAAGCTAGAAAATTAGCAGAAGTGTATATCATCTATGCCCTAGCGCGTTGCTGACGTTAGGGCTGCCCAGGGAGGCTCTACCTGCTAGTAAACAGTTGCTACTCTAAAAGATTCTCTGTTATTAATTCTATTATATAAATTAAAAGCTTTAATTTTTAATTGCAATCTATCCCTAAAATCCTTATAGAAAACTGCGTGGGCAGATCGTATTCGCTTGCGCACGGTGCGGAGGATGATCACTTCCTGGCACCTACTGTACTATACTTCTCCCTAAGCCCACCCTCCGCGATCGAGCCGCCCCGTTGACTTCCTTCTTGATGTCGTGCAGTGACACGTTGTAGCATTGCTACTATAAAGACTAAAATAGAGACGTTTCAAAATCCTACCATCTTTCTCCGCGCACATCCGCACTTCCCCAGTCCCCTGAAAAGACGCATGGAGCACTGTAACGCCGATACCCGCACTCGCGTCCTCCTCTTGGCGCAGCACTTGGCGGCGTCTTCTCGCAAGGCTAACGCATATTTCTCATCAGTATAGCGGTGCTTGGAAGAAGGTCCGCATTGTTTGACGTCTGCGGCTGAAGTGTTGAGGTAAACTTGGAGCGCAACTGTTTCGGGCCGATGCCGTTCTCGCACTCGTACTCGGCTTCGAGGCGCGTACTCGCTTCCAACTACACGGCCCCATCAGACTACGGTAAAACACCAATCAGCGATTTAAATCTCGCCAACATCATATCCGCAAACTACAATCGCCAAGAGAAGCGCCGCAACTATGGCTTTACTTGTAGATATGTACAGAGTATAAGATGGGTCTTCAATCTCCTCGAGAAAAGATGTTTCCATTCTAGGCATTCTGCGATCTCTTATTTTACCCTCGCTTCAAACTCTCCACCTCTTGCACTTTTCTCAATCTGTCTTTCGAGCCATTTCTTCAAAGGCCCCCATCTCCACTGTATCCTCATGGCTTTCTTCTCTCCCCGCTTCAAACTCCCAGTCCACCTCCTCCAACTTGTCCTCATAACCTTCGCCATGGGTCTCTCCGTCCCCCGCCTCTTCATCAAGAACCAACCCCGAACCCGCGCCAACACCATCGCCCTCGGGATGGGAGCCAAGTCTCTCATCTTCCTCGCCTACCAGCTGTTCACCGAGTACGTCCCTCGCTTCAAGCGTTGGCATAGCTACAAAGCCAACGCCATTATCAATTCTCTGGAAATCGTGTTCTGGGCTGCTGTCGCTTTTTTGGTTGTGCAGGCGAATTTATCGAGATGTATGGGGTGGAGTTGTACATTGAGTTGGTGTGTGGTAGGGATTGCGGTTGTGTTGAGGTATGTGTTGCGCTTTTTTAGGAATGAGAGGAATAGGGGGTGGCTGATCAGTGAGTTATAGTATATCGGAGACTTGGACTGCGGCTGTGTCGATACGGGAATTGCGGTATTACCGGAGGAAGGGGAGGGAGCAGATTGATGGTATTTCGGATGAAGAACTTGTTGAGCGGGCGGTGCGGCCGAGAAAATAGAGGAGGGCTTTATCGTGGGAAATCAGTGGAGTATAGAGTGAACGAGGGCGGAATGTCTGCTTTTAAGACAGGAAAAGGGGTTTGGGTAGACCTTTTGCGTCGTTTGCGATTATTCTCGGGGGCCGATCTCGCGGTACGGGTTCCACACAGCGGTTTTATGGGATGCCGGATGGGCCGGGGGACTCTGAGGGGCGTTTTGAGAGTTCGTAGTTTGCCGCACTGGTTAGACCACTTTTTTAGATGGATTGTATGAAAAATAACCGAAATGTCAAGAGTTTACTGTAGAAAGTCCTTCCGGCGATGGTGTAAAGTATGAGAGTTAACGTCCCTCCCTGTGTAGCGAAAAACCACCCGTACCTAAAAAGTTGAGGGATACTTTTATTTCGCAGGATTATGAGTCTCTCATACGTCGTAGTTCATTAGAATTATCTTGTGGGACTTGCAAAAGGTGCGCAAGGGACTTAATAGAGAGCGGGCTTTCTAGAATAACAATGCTGCCCACAATTCTTTGAAATGCGTGCAGCCATGCTTCCTTCTCATCCTCTTTCTGCTCGGCAAGCAGCTGCTCTAGAACAAGAAGGTAGGTTCGGTCAAGCTGTGAAAAGGTTGACTTCTGATACTGTAGCACCTTGTTCAGGTACCCTTCGGGGTGACCTCCCTTCGTGCGAATATATCGGCACACAGTAGCAGCAAAGACGAACAGTGGCACAGCTAGGTCGACCAGGGTTCGGATCTGATCCGTTGTTGGCCAGTCTGGAGAGAGCATGCGCGCTTGGTGTATTACACTAAGCTCGTACTCATATAAGAGACGTTTAATAGTGTTCTTTGCGACTTCATGCAGGGCAAGATCTTGGTAGGTTCCATTTGGCATCTGCTTGAAGCCAAGACGAATATGGAGTTCTGGTCTGCTAGTTACTAAGACTCGCAACGATACTGGTCGCATGTCCTTGGCCCGAGTAAGAGGCTAGAGTATGGCTCGAATGTCTTCGTCCCTGTTGCATTCGTCTAGTGCGTCAACAACGACGATGAATGCAGGGGTAGTTGAGCTTGTTTGTTGCACCCCAGAGAGCAGATGCAGTATAAGCTTTTCAAATTAATCCTTTAGTACCCTCTATACCAAAGCCAAGTCTTCGTCAAATGCTTTCCAGCATCCCTGGTTCACGAGCAAACAAGTCAGTGGCTATGGTGCTGAAGAACCGCGAGGCATTGCCACTCTCGCCCTCGCCTCTTTTGAAGAAGAAGCTGGCTCCAAGCTAACTGGCTTCGGCAAACGATTGGGCAACAGTCCGTGCAATTGTTGCCTTTCCTGTGCCAGCCATGCCGCTCAGCCAGAATATAGGTTTGCCATCCCTGCTGTTCGCCTATTCTACTATGGTGTGAAGTAGCGTGGTACGGGTGTTCGGTAGGCATCGTGCGTTGTGTTCTTCGGTGTGCGCGTTGAACGAGGCGCCTGCTGCGATCGGCAATTTGGTCACGTCTAGCTTCTGGCTTATACCCACTACCAGGGCTCTGTACAATAAGTGAGATGCTACGTCTATGCACGAAAAGGTTGGGTGTGAAGGCTTACGTCTGGTCAACTTGAAGCGCAAGGCTGAAAGTGTTTCCATATTCCTCAAGATTTCGAACCATCTTCTCCACCTCCTTGCTCGTCAATGGCCATTTCAAGGCTCGGATACCGAACCGCTGTATGGCCTTACAGCCTCCGCTAAGCTCGAGTTTGGCCTTCAGTGTAGCCTCAAGCTCTCCCAACTCCCGAGAACATCGTTTGAGTGGATGCAGTCATGTGCGTATAGTAGAGAGCTGCGACTTGTCCTGCTTGTGTAGGATCTGCTGAAGCTTTTCGAGGACATGTTTGACATCGTTCACTTTTGTTGGAGGCGCTCAATGTCCCCCTTTGCATACCTGACCGCGACTAAGTACTGGAAGCAGAGTGACGCGACCTTGGTGGATATGTCGATGACAGCTATTACGCTTGCCGCTCCCGAAAGGCCGTCCACGATGGGGCACGCAGTGGGTGTCGCACGTGTCTCACGCGATATCATACCCATGTACTGCACTATTCACTCATTAGGCATAGCTCCTCTCTCGTACAGTATATAGTCAGCCCAGAGCTCTATCGAGCTCCTTAGACCTTACAATACACTCGTACAATCCACTTTGTTTGGATCTCACTCCCTTGTCGACTCGCTTCCCAGCTCATGCAAGAGTGGGGCCTGTAGTGGATATCGTTGCAGAAGCTCCAGCGTACGTTCACAAGGCAGCGACGCTGCTCCGTGTGTGTGCGAAGGATGTTGCCGTTCATCTTGATTGCGGCGGGGCTGCAAGGTTGAGAAGGCTGCTGCGGCTAAGTGCTACAGTGTGTGGCAATTAGCGCTGGCAGAGCTGTTTTGCGCTAGCGAAGATACGTGCCCGCACCAGCTGTTATACTTGTGATACTAATTCGCGCTCTCATTGGAGGATCTCAGTGTATTGTATGACCAACTATTCCCTAAGCGCTATAACGCCCAACTGTCTCCTGACGCAAGACTACCTTTCACCACCAACCCTAATATATTCGTGCTACCGGAGCTCGCCATGGAAATAGAGGTCTCGATGATTTAACCTTGCTCAGCTCTGCTACCTTGTTCTTTAGTACCGATAAATGCGCCTCTTCTAGCGGAATCGGATCTCCTGCCGATTCTGAGTGTGAATCACGTTGTGTGAGGTTAGGGTTATCACAAAATAAGCCGTGTACCGCAATTTGATAAAATTCATGCTTGGTAAGTTATTAACGCAGAAAAATTAAATTAAAATTGTGCCATGTAAGCCCAAACAAGATTCTACAAATTCGACCTATTTGACAGAAAATAAATCCCAGACATGGGAAAACTAGGCTATCTCTCTAGGACAGAGACATAGCCACTGGCCCAGCCATGGTCGCAAGAGTAAGATCATTTACATCATTTGGCCGCTGAACGGCTACCACGGCGGGTACGCCACGCAGGCTTTCCTTCAACGTGAACACCGCTCACTTTCACGTTGTAGCATCGATTCGTGAATTGTTTCAAAATCTATACACACATTTACAGAGATCCTCTCGCCTTCTCAATACATCTCAAGAGTATGTGAATACTGTGGCTGATGCACATTGCCTTGATTATGGTACCATTGTCTACGGTTTCTCGCTCTGCCACGCCACGTTAACGCTCTGAACGAAAACACTCTTCCTAGAAATTTCGCCTCCAGCGTGTGTTACTCCTCCTCTCGCAATTACTCGAAATGTGGTTTGCACACATAGAGACTCTTGCGCTTTCGTAAAATCAAGGAGAAAAGGTTCGCTAGCGTTGGGTTGGTTAGTATGTACATGGTATGTTTTTGCCGTTTCTTCGCCTCCATATATATATGAGGTTTCGAAATACGCTTGCTATATAACAAAGAGTTAGCCTTATATGTGGAGGGAAATTCTTTAGGTCATATTGGCCAAGATTGTGGAAGGAAAAAGAATGAGGAGAAGAACTACCTCAGTATCAGGCTTTCCCTCTCCATTGATAGTCGTAAACACTTGCTCCAGCAAGCCCGGGTCTAGTCTATTTTCGAAATCGTAGTCTAAGCTCATTATTCGTCCATAAAGCTTATTTGACCATCGAAAGCGCATGCAGACTACGCAAGTAGTTTCGGTCGCGTTCGCCGAATCCGTCGACGCGAGACTGTCGGGTGCTAATCCTTTCGACTTGCGGGTGTCATAGAGGATGTCAAGACTTGTGTTGTTGTTCGAGGGTTTTGTCGTGATGGGGGTATCACAGTTACTAATCTTTGTGGACAAGATCGTGATGTTAGCTGGAGCAATGGCTGCGGTAAAGATAGGAAGAAGTGCACCGAGCAAGCTGAGCTGAGTGCGCATCTTGGAGAAGCGAAGTGGAATTCAAGCTTTTCTACAACTATCATCGTGGGCCCAGGTCGATTTTAAGGAACAGTCCTCGTACGCACAGACAGAGAAATCCTGCTGCATGTGGGGGCAATATGGGAATCGCGGGGCATAGATTAGAGTAGACGAGCCTTGTTCTCGTGATTGGTCACCCCACATGGACCTTCCCACAGGGTTGCAAGAAAGTAGACGAGCAGCAGGGAACATTGAATTGGGCGATAGGATTTAGAGGCAAGTGGTCTCCGCGGATAGTATAACTTCTTCTTTTGGCACGTTGCTGTTCCCGTCTTAGATGAGATTTCTGTTGCTCCGTCCGCTTGCTTCCAATTCTCACTCTGCTTCCGCTTCTTTCCCCCATACCGTAATTCTGACCCTTTTCATTCAATTTTAGTTCTGCTTACTGCCCTCTCCTCTTGTTCTCTCTCCTGCTTTTATAGGGCATTTGACAGCGTCGTTTCGAAGACCAAGGCACCATTCATCAGCATAGCAAAGAAAGGCACGCTGCGAACGAAAGTGATGACAGCGGATCTGTTGGTTAAGAATAGCTGCGGAAAGTCTAAAGAGTGTGGGCGACGAAGGAACCGTTGATAAAGACCCATTGAAAGGGTGCAGCTAGTAGCCGCTCATCTACCTGGCTTATGTGATGTAGCTTGTGAGATGTGGCTTGTGCAGTAGATGTGGCTTTTCCTGCGTCCTGCGAAATAGGATTTTCGGCCACGAAAAACGACAAAACCACCCATGCCCTCGGGCAGATGTCATACACCAGCATCAGCAGCCTAGTAATACCCCCACGACGTTAAAGAAGAACCCTATGTACACAATTCAATGGTTTACGATATTTGAAGACGTACGAGATCCTATCTACACTCAGTGTCCGGTACTAGTTGAAGCCGGATTCTCTCTTCTAGAGGGGAGTGGTGGGAGTCAGTCTTGGAGAAGAGATGTAATCCTATGAGAACTAACTGACAATGGCTGTGGTTGACTTGAGGTGGTTAGCCGTTGATCGCCATCTCTGGAGTTAAGTAATGAATAAGGGGGACAGAATTCCACATCCTGTCCGAACTGCTACCAACATCGTCGGTTTAACTCCTACATCGTTAGCTTACTACCGTTCATTCAGCCCTAGAATGAGATTACTTTGCTCAGTCAATGTCCTCAGCACAATAAAGCTGTAGCACCAGCATCCTTCGGATACGAACTGATGGACGAAGTCTGTCTGCTGGCCACTGGGCGTAATTCCTCGTCCCATCGGCAGTTTGCATTATCGACGTCTAGCCTGCGTTCGTTAAATTGATCCCGACTAATTCTAAAACCTTAATAAGTCGGGAGGGAAGATATCGCGGCCAGTGATAGCGCGCCTGCACAACCCAAAAATAAGTTTCTTAAAGGTAAAACCCGCTCAGCATAGGGGCACCTGCGGCCATGTCTTCGGAGCAATAGCCTTCTCTTCATCTCACCGCTATTTCCCTTCGAGAGGGTTGCGGCAGCCCTCTTCTTCTCGTCCAGGCGCCATTTTTTTTTTTCCATCGCAGCCGCTACCGATTTTTTATATCGGCGACCTTCTCTCAACCATTACCGCCTTTCTTGTACCAGCAGCTGGCATTCCGACCCTAATCACCATAGTAGATACTCCAACGCCAAAAGCAGCTCAGCCCCCTCTCCTTTCGCAACCGCCTACCTCTACATGCAACTTAACAGTAGAGGCAAGAAGTCTCCATTGCCACTTCCCACAAATATCTGTTACCAGCGTTAAGAGCGCTTCGTCTACTCAACCCGTAGAAGTCAGTGTCCTCGCTATACCTCCCGCGACCTAGACGACCTAAGATCTCTAACGCTCCTCTCCCATCTTAATGCTCGGCCTGGTGTGAGGACGCGATAGTCGACTGTCGAACCTTTTCAACTCGCCGTCAGTCTCACAGAATAACAATTCGTTTACAAATGTAACCCACGTGACATCGCCAACAGGTTCAATATACAGGAAAGATCTTAAGAATTCTTCGGTATTACAATAATATATAACTCGCAAGCGCAGCAAGACTAACGTTAATCAAGCTCGGCAAAGTTTGCCATCCTGCGTCTGCACACCCCTATCCCCATCATCCACTACCCAGGCTTCACTACCTACCCCATGATGCACATAAAACAAATCCGTGGGATCCCACTTCTTCTTAATCTGGGCTAACTTGGCATAATTGCTCCCCCAAAATGAATTCTGCCAATCCGGCTCAGCGACGTCAGCTTCATTAGCATATGCCCCGCCAGTTGGCGTCAGATCCCTCAACGGACCTAGGATAACATTTGTGAGCTGGTTGCTCCCAACGGCGAGTTGTGCAGCGGTGGCATTGGCTGCAACAGGGTTGATAGCAATGAGCATGACGGCTTCGTTGCGGAAGGCCGGGTTGACGGAGTTAACAATTTTGGTTTGCTTAGCGGGGGATTGGTGATACATCCCAATCCTAAGCGAATTGTCCACTGCGTGTTTGACAGCCGCGAGGGTTTGGGTGGAGAGAGTAGGATCCTCCCAGTTTGCGGCTGGCAGGAGCCGATTTCCGGGGACAGACGTATAGCCACCAACCCGATAGTTGATGGTTCCGAAGGTGGCTTTGTATGCTGGGTAGAATGTGTCGAAGTGCTGGGTTGAAATTTTATACGGGATACCCAAGGCAGTGAGTTTATCGAAGAAGGGCTTCGTCAAAGCCTGGAATTCGGCAACTGTCTTCTTCGTGGCGAAGAATGGAAACATCTCAAAGGCATACGTGCCGTTGGTATTGGAGACGAAGTAATAAGAGTATGTTTTTGCGGCGTTATACGTAGGAATTTCATCCCAGAAAGCCTTCACTCCCTGCCAGAAAGTGTCGGCCGAAACGGTGGCCGAGGTAGTAAAGTTGAAGACAGAGGTGGTGACAGGGACTTTGGGGTAAACTTTTAGGACCGCGGATGTGATGATACCGAAGGTTCCACCGCCACCTCCAAGCATAGCCCAGTAGAGATCGGAGTTGATAGAGGGGGTGGCAGTGACGAAGTAGCCTCCTGCGGTGACGACTTCAAGAGCGACGACCTGGTCGGCCCCCATGCCGTAGAGCTGCATGAGTGGAGAGTGGCCGCCGCCCGTGACGTAGCCGCCTACAACGCCGACGCTCTGTTTTTATTCGCGTAAGCTATCACATAGAACATAGGAGGACGGAGGCACTTACAGGACAGATTCCAGCAAGTGCAGACACGCCATACTTGTCGGCCGCTTCGTATAATTCAAACCCTTGAATACCAGCCCCGACCTTCAGCGCAGGCCCTGAGTAGTCAGCACTCTTGTAGTTAGCGACATACTGTATGTCTTTGAGGTTATGAGTCCAAATGCTGAGGGCGTCCTTTCCAGTCGACCTTCCATTGTAGTCGTGGCCTGTATTCTTGACGACCAAGCGCAGGTTGAGCGTGCGCGCGAAGTTGACAGCCAACTGAATTTGAGCAACGTTAGTGACCTTCACTGAGTAAAGTGAATAGCCACCTTGCGTGCAAGTGCTCAGAGCGGCTGGGTTAGTTCCTTGGAGACATGTCTTTCCCTCGTACATAGGGAAGAAGACGGAGCCTGGGTCGGAATAACTGCTCGCCTGTTAGATCAAGCAGGTGGGCGCGAGTGTACTTAAGAAAACGGAATGCATACTGCGTGCTCTCCACACCCCAATTCGCAGTGATTGCTGCACATTTCCCAGCATCGTAGTTGTTGTACTTCGACGATGGGTAGCAGGGCGAGGCGATCGGGATAATCGGTGACAGTGCCCCCCCAAGCAAGAGATCGAAGATATCCCACACAATCTTTGACGGCCACAAAGCATCTCCCGGGTAGGTTTTGCAGCGGGCGGCACGACGAGCTCGACGGTGTCGTTTAGCGGACTCAGTAGTAATCGACGAACTGTTATCGAAAGCGAAGAGATGGGCGTATTCTGCGACCTGATCGTCGTTTTTAAGTTCGGCGATGAGGGGGTCCGTAAGTTGCACGGTTTCAAGCTCGAAAAGCGGAACGCCAGCTGGGGAATCGTCCGAAACGACAGTGGCAGCGGGTGCAACAGAGACCGTCACCGAAGCCTCATCTTGAGCATGCACCCGAACTGCAGTGAAAGTAAAAGAGAGAAAAACGAGTGTAGCCAGCATGCTGAAAGAGTGTGTGCTGGATGCCATGGCGTTGGGTTGGCGTTGGCAAATGATGGCAGGGGCAAGCAAAAGGCCTCTGGGTCGTAAATCCACGTGGAGCGGCGTTGGAAGGATTTAACCAGCAAGTTGCATTGCACATCCCCACCCCTTCGGCAGAACAAAGCCGAAGAGCTGGGTCGGAAAAAAACAGACGAGGCGCACACTCGCCCAAAGGACGGGAGACGAGTCAAGGAAATGGTCAGCCTGGCGTCAGCATCCCTTGAACTCGTGTTCGTGTTCAGGTCCATATCGGTTTGCATTGCACGTGGGATATTACAGAGACGTTCGAAGGAGGTCGCTGTATCTAGAAAAGATGTTCGTTGCAGAACCCGAAATCGAGGGGGGAGCCTTGACTCCTGAACTTTCGAATAGACTCTAGAAGAGATAAGCTTTTAGAAGATGGTACGACTCTCTCTGCCCGGGAGCGGAGGAGGATCCTTGCCCGCCGCGAGGACAGTGAAAAACGGCCGGTTGCCTCATGTCCCAAGGTTCATCGTCGACGCCAAAAGAAGCAAATCTCGGAAACTAAGTTTAGGGGAGTTGACAGTGGGAAGGGCCCCGTCCGTGCGGGCCGTTGTTGGGCAAGTCCGCAGTGACAGCCTGTAGCGCCACGCAGACCCGAGTGCCAACCTTCCGCGATTGAAGAGGTAACCAATGGTAGCGCACTGTTGAGCATCGCAGCGCCATCTCCGACAAAGGGCCGCATTGTGCAGACTGGCAGGGACCGGGGCAAGCCCTTCCCCAATTCCCCGCTGCGCTTGGACTTGCTAGGGTGCCAAGCGCTGTGTCAACGTGTCTTTCATTCGCTTCATTCCGTGTCAAACTTCTTGAATGAATGTCGTATATTCCTGTGATGTTGCTGATTGGCTCCGGATCGTTCCCGCGCGACCTCTCGCATACCCACAGAAACCTCCGTATTCTTGAAGGTTTGCGAAACGGAAGGTGCTGCAGGTCCTGCTGTTCAGGTTGCAATCCCTCGAAAGTGATTTCCCGTCGATCGTTCCTGCGTGCCCAGCTCTACTCTAGCTTGGCAGGCGACTCCAGGCCTAGAACTTGGAAACTAGATTTAGGTCTGTCTCAGTCCCTTGTATAGTTCACGTCCAGCGTATGCTTTGTCGCGGCCTCTTAAGAATTCTGATAATCTCACATCATCTTCTCTGTTGGTATTCGGATCATCCCTCACTCATTACTGCCCTTTTCTTTTTGTTCTGCAGCCATGGGGGGTTCAGGCTTGCAGCCGACGCTGATCGCTATGCTCTACCTATTCCCCGCCCTCTCTGGGTCTGTGGTTGGTATAAGGGTGTGGAGAAAGCGAAAAGATCGCACGTTGGGAGGAGGTGAGCTGCAACGATTAATGGCACATTAGCCGGAGTCATACGACACTAACTAACTATCTCAGATGATGCCCTGATAGTTCTCGCGTGGATCATGTCGATTGCGAATACCGTTATTGTCCACTTCTGTGAGTCGTCGACTCGAATACGCTGCGTGGCGCCTAACACCATCCTAGATGTCCTGGAAATGTATATTGGATACCACGACCAAGACGTCCCAAAAGCCAAAATCAACAGGAAGGTAGCTGCAAAGGTAATCAACTCACCCGTCGTGTGAAAATCAGCCAACTCTCTAACCACATCACCACAGTGGCAATATGCCTTAGCGGTGACCTACAATCCGGTCGTCTGTCTTGTCAAAGCCTCATTCCTGTGGAGTCTCCAAAAACTTCGCTCCCGAAACATTGCGATCCGGCGCTGTTTGTGGGCCATCCAATTGATCAACGCGGCCTACTTAATTGCTGCACTGATTTTGAACCTTGTCCCTTGCCTCCCTGTCTCTCGCCAATTTGACAAGACAATCAAAGGCAAATGCTACGACGCATACAATTTCGTCGTCGGCACAATCTGCGTGGTTCTCATCACCGATGCTATGGTACTTGTCATGCCTTCATGGATTATATACGACCTACAAATGCCTCTTCGCCGGAAACTGATCACCATTTCCTTTCTGTCACTTGGTTTCGTCGTCATCGCAATCGGGATTCTTCGGCTGCACTGGCTCTCCCAGAAATTTAAGGGGCATTCCAAGTCATACTCTATCGAGCAGTCCTACTCCGCGATGGAATGCAATATCGCCATTATCGGTGCCTGCGGCCCAACCGTAAAATACATTCTCGGCGGCTTAATCCCCAGTCTCCGGCCAGAAAACCACAGCAAGAAAGCTTCGAACTATGGCCACAGCTCCAGCAATCAAGGGATATCGCGCCGGCAGCGATCGAAGTACGACACGAATACGTACGATGATCTAGACATGGCAACGGTGCGACAAGATGAGATTGAGATGAAAGGCGACTGGCGATGGCGGTCCAAGAATGATTCGGACGCGAACAGCGATGAGCAGCGCATGACGACGGACATGAACGACGGCATTATGAAGACGGTCGATTGGACGGTTTCTTCGCGAGAGGACTCTATGGCCGGGAGACTACCCGTTGCGAAAGACGCACACTCAGATGTCCGCGTTGCAGTCCAGCCTGCGAATGTGGTATGATCTCTCATCATCTGATATTATCTAGTCTGTGGAACCGATCAAAGTTTATCTAATAGGCAATCTGGAGCTCTTGACGACTACGGATAGAGGCGGCGTTTACTAAAATTTGTGTGCATTTGATGGAGATAACACAGAAATGTGTCGGTGTACATATGATACGAGTTAGGGCAGGTAGTTGCGACCTGGAGAGTTACTAGTGCTAGCGGAGGACTATTTCCACCAATTGGCCAGGATGGTCTTGACTAGGGTTCGAGATAAAGGGTCGAGTCGAGTAAAGCATTTAGGGTTGGTTCAGGAATCCAGAGCAAAGGAAATAGAATTTACTCATCTACCACCGTTTCACACTTGCAAGTTTCTAGGAACCTCAGGCATCCCTTTGCAATGTGCATCCTGCCCTTCGATGACGAGGCAGCTATTAATTAGTGGAATTATCGTTGTTCAAATTCATGCACATTCCTTGCTGTCTTGACTAGCTCCATGAGGAAGTTTAACGAGTTCGTCGAGGCTGAGTCGGAAAATGCGGGAGCGGTATCGATTCCGGATGACTCCGGATAGCTTCATTCAAAATTTTGGTTCAGACTCTGCGGCTGAGACAGGCTCGCTTAACCCTTTCTAGTTGTGTTCCTGCGGTTGCGAGTTGTGACGCCCAACCCGCCAAGAACGACGAACGTTGGGGCTGACAAGGTCTTACCGCAGGGAAAAGCCTCAGGCTTCTCACCAACCCGTTTCCGGTGGTACGTCCGACAAAGTACCCCGCCAACAGGCTCCACTCTGACTCGTTAACGTGTTTGGGTTTCCGGATGCTGTTCGTGCGCGGTCAAATCCGAGAAGAAAGGCTGTTATTCTGCACGTTTCGCGTAACGGCCCGTACCCATCGAGTCCAAATCGACATCAGCATCGAACCCTGCCTGTGCAGTTTCTTTCCTGCTTTGACAAATTCATAGCGGTGAGTGAGGCTGATGAACACCGTATTGAAGTTCTGACCGTTAAAATCACAGCTTTCTTCCATTGTCTTCAAACTGATCAAAGCGGTGTCGCATTGACCTCACAGGCAACCATCCACTCGGGGAAATATTAAGGAGCGATGACCATGGTCATTGCTGGTATGGCGCGCATCCCTTCATCTTGTTTCTGGGGAACATGGTGTTCGGGCCTCCGCTCCATTCCACTGCACGGGTCTCGTGTGCGTGCATCCCCGAGGATGTTGCGACCCAATTTTCAATGCACGCGATCCGGAATTAAACTATTAAGCTTCAGGGCTGGAAGCTTCAAATATTGCGACAACTGTTGGCGTCCGAAGCTCTTCCGAAGCGAAGAGAGGACCGTGACATGGCGTGATCCCAAACTATCATGGGCGTAACTGCATTAATTGAGTAGGGACAAGAGGAAAGGGTGAAGGGCGGGAACCGGTCGATAGTGCACTGCTTAACCACAGGAGTTTCTGCGCGAAGTGACCGAATCGAGAAGTGCAGAATTATCAAGGCTCAAAGGGCGAGTCATCGTTGGAGGCCCGATGCCTGGCTCGGCTGCAGAGAAATCGTTGAGAGTGGTCGTTCGTATTTTAGAATAGACTCTGGAATACGAGAGGCTTTGATAGCAAATGAGAGACCTGGGTTCCTCAGGAGGTAAATGCGTTCTAGGTTTCACGGCACACGAGTCGCAAAACAGTAATACTGCAGGCGAACACGTATGTGTCTCCATCCTGAGTACAAAAGAACGAAGCATTTCCCGCGGATCATGAACAGGAAAAGCGGACGCAAGGAAGTATTGCAAGAGGTTCCCTCAACGATCCTCTGTCGTGGTGTAGCCGAGGTCCGAGAGTCACAACCCCTCCTTCCGTTGGTAATTCGGCTTCGTCGAAGGTCGTGAAGAAGCCTGAATAACCTTTATGATCCAGTTCCGTAGTAGGTGAGATCGTTGCTCCAAGAGTGTTTTGGTTCGTTAGGCTCGAGAAAACTCGGTACTCCTCAAGAGTCCGCACTTATCACTCGCTTATGCTACCTTCTCCAACAGGACATGTTGGCCGGGTTCCTTCGAGATGAAACCGCGCGAAACCTGGCGCCTCCATGATTTTTAACTTAAAGCTGAGCCGCACTCAGTGTCCCGACGATAATCCCAACCTTCTCCGAATACGTATCTGACCCCGCTGTTACAACAGCAGTAGAGGTCACCTATCGGTGAGGGGTGAAAGCCCCGCTAGAAAAAGCTTTGACGATTCCGCCTCGTTCAAAGAATCCATCGACTTAGCCTCTAGGCTAGCCATGGTTAAGTGCAGATGGAAGCGACTGGTCCCTCTGCATTTCAACCCCGTTCTCATAACAATATTCAATGAAGGGACGAATGAACAGTATCCTTGGATGCAGACAGGAGGAACCTCCAAGAAAATATCTCATTCTGGAGCATTATAGGACGCATTGTCCGGTAGCATAAGAATACTAGAATCTGACACTTAATGCGGCAGGAACGTCGATGTGACAACCTCACATGCTCTAGTCAACTAGAAAAACAACTGGTTCCTAAGTGTCAGCGAGGGCGGTTCACTTGGGCGAAAAGCGAATTAGTGCCCGTAATATGATCCATGTCCGGGTGAGCACTGTGAGAAGTCCCTGGAAGCGGCGTACAATCTCCAATCAAACTAATGATGGAAGAAATCCTTATAAATGCGCCAAGATGGCTTCGTGGCAGGCAATCTAATAAATTGCACAATCGATATTAAAAGAGAGCGGTCGTACTCACCTGCTTAGCTGGTATGCGTGTTACACCCGTTGACCTTCGTAATCTCTGTCCGGAAACTCGCCTCTTCGGGTTTAGCGCAGTCCCTCACGTATCTATATCGGGTATCGCTCCTCACCGCTATCAACCCGTCGCTTTTGACCTCTATAAATACTTGCCCCCATGTTACCAGGCTTTCTCCTCATCTCTTTCCATTAATTCTCTAACCCTGCCCCGGAGCCTTTGCTGCCAATCGGTCTACGCCTTTCTATGCCTCGCCTTGCTGTCCCTCATCCCATCTCCAACCACAAATTAAAAACTCGCTCATTAACCAGCCAACATGCTACTGACTTTCCTAGTTTCCGCTTTATCAGTCTTTTTACTACGAGGGGCTATAATGCTATTATACGACTTCTGTATGGACCCAACGATCCGCTAGCTTCAGTTATATTAGATTTAGACAGCTTTAACTCTTATATTTAGAATATCTATGAAGCCTGCTCGAGGCTGAATAGGGCCAGATCCGGACATAGACTGGATCCGGGCCTAGTGACAGGCAGTCTTTGCCGGATTGAAATCAGTCTATGGTGACATAATATACCGCTTCCGATGTCCCTCTTTTATTGCTGCCAATATTCCACTCCATCTATGTCAGCTACATAACTTGGACTTTGTTGAGCACAATCGAACAGTCAGTGACCGATCGGGTCTATTATATCTAAAGGGCGCACCACCGACACCACTTTCAGCATTAAATTTGTTTCCGCTGAGGGAGAAGAAGATTCTGTCTATGTAGAATACGGCCAATAGCTGGAGAACAATGGTTTGAATGCCAGGCCACTCTCTTAAACACGTTCTCTGTGCAATGAATATGTCGTCATAACCTGCCGTGAACGCAGACCAGACACCTGAGGCGGAATTTGCCGACTGGCTTTCGTCCATGAGACAATGTCATAGAGAAGGTACCTTACCGCCACACACGCCTACTGTGTCATCATCACAGAGGCCAAAAAGCAGGTAGTCCTTCGATATTGGGGTTCAGTTTGGCTCCGAGATTTCTGAACAACCAACGGCGCTTGAGGAGGCCATATGACGCGGAGTGGCAAGAGAATCGAGTCAGTTCCATTCTGTGTACACATATACTGCAATGCGTTAAGATGGTAAGCAGCTCTCATATCTACGGTACAACGATAGGAGCTACTAAGCGAGACTTTAGCAGGCTGGCCTAACGCGTGATATCGGTTATAGAAGCATCTAAGAAATGTATATTAAATATGGGACGGCGGAACCCGGCAAACGTCTACTGGTATACTTGGAACAACCTCCCTAGAGGTAACAACACATCCATATGTGCAAGGGCAAACGCAGTCAAGTGGGGAAAAGTTGAAACTATATTAGCTAACTGTGATATCGAACACACAAGTCGCACTAAATTTTAGCGCGGCTATGCATCTCTTGTTTTACCCCTCACCCTAATAGTATTTCTTTCCACTTCATCCCTCTTTTACAGGTGCGCCACAAAGCACCTTTGACAATCCTTCCCAATCCTGCTCGCTCAGCTATGCCTCCCGTCCAAGATATCATCACTGCATTGAACTCTTGGAAATCGTTTACTGGCTCTCCACCGTTTGACGGGTGAACAACATACGGTGAACGCTCTGTGGTGGGATTCTGTCCTTCAGATAGTAGAATAAACTCCTGCAGCGAAACATCCTCCCTAGCCGCCCTCTCCGTCCATCCTTCATCTAGCAAGACCCACCCGCAAGTCTGTCCGCTTGCGTCACGAAGAAGGAAGAGGCGTAAGCCATTCCCTGTGTTCTCCGGGTCGAAGCTAGAGAACTTGAGCACCGCAGATGTATCGGGCTCGATTTTGAAGTACGCAGAGATTGTCCAGAACTGAAGGTAACGGATATGCTTTCGCTGGGGCTCGAGCTTGTCAAGACGACGGGGAAGCATGTCTGGGGTTGGTGCGAAGTTACGGGGCCGGAATCCAAATCGTCTACCATGGTCTGTCGCACTTGGGGAGAAGCCTCGCAACCATGGTGGACCTTCCCTGAGGTATATCGCCGATTTAGCGTTTGTCCCGAAGGAGCTGTACCAGACAATCCAACATTTCTCCTTCAACCACGCCTCTACCTTTTGAGTCTCAGAGCTTTCAATTGAACCTTCGAGAGACCCATCGTCGAACCAGTGGATTTTGCCAAGCCAACCAGCCCACGACCAGGTGGAAAATCCAACCCGACGTGTAAGGCGTTCCCGTGGCTGCCACAACAACGCCATGTCAAAAATCGAGACCGGCAACCCTTCCAGTGTCCGTCCAGGGCAAATCATTCTCAGTATCCCTCTGAATGCATTCAAGATATCTCGCTCATGTGTCATGCTGCGAGAGGAGAAGGTCTGGACCCCTCGACGATAAGTGCTCCACAGAGAACAATTATCCGGGCGCAGTTTGATTAATTCTGCTCCATCTTGCATGGCCGCATCCGACTCTAGCGTCTTTCCGGGAACGACATCTTCGGAATATACCGCTTCTTTACATGAGTGATACACTTGACCATTCGAAGCAAAAACCAACAGTCGGTTTGCCAGCTGGTACTCTTGAAACGTCCAGGCTCGCTGGTTGTACGTCGAGCAGTCCAGGAAGTCTTTAAAATCAAAATGAAGGGAAAGAGCAAGATTCGGCGAGATTTGCGAGCCCCATTGGCGCCATGTCCGCTTCTCTGTTACTCCAGGAAGAGGAGAGTTGGAATTCTCGGCCGTTCCAGCAACGATGGTCAGCAACGATTGGGTATATATTCTATCCATGTCCTCTATACACTGTCTTCGAATGACATCCGAGTCTTGCACGATACATAGAGCGTCGACCCATAGATATCGTTCACCTAGCTTCTCAACCAATTCTATTGCATCTGATACGGTCTGTGGTAGCTGAACGTTTCTCAAGCTATGTTTTTGGGAGAACTCTTTGAATTTTTCACCACTCAAGGTGAGCTGGATAGTGTCTCCCCAGACATAGCTGCAAAATGGAGGCTATAGTTAGTAAAGGCCTCAGATCAGTACCTGCAAACCGAAAAACGCACCTAAGCGCGATGTACCGGCAGTTATCTGGTGCATGAACAATACACTCCTGTTTGACGTCAATCACTATAAATGTCTCCGTTGGCTTGACTAAAAGATCGTTGTTGTTCCCATGGCAAGTTGCATGGTTTTTCTCGCAATGTTGAAGCCAGCGCCTGATAAGCTCGAAGTCTAAGAAATCCGACTTTACTGACGAAAGCCGACCGAAATGTGGTTGGTCTGGAAGCAGTCGAGACACTGCGCGAATCACGAGCTTGTATGCCGCTTGTGGTATCCGTGGCGATTCCGGCCAGACAAGGATCGACAAGGCCGAGCTCTTCAGACGCTGCTCTCTGCTTGGCCCGAGAGCGTTAATCCAGGTTCCAAATATTGCGATTTGAGAAAGATCCGATAAACTATTAATATTCCTCAATGGACCGTTCCGAAAGGCTGCGAACGTTAATCGACAGAGATGACATCCCTTGATGCGGGCGCTGATTTGTTCAAGTGTGCCTAAGGAGTATATCGGGGCTTTGAGATGCGGGTTATCGTCCGTTCCTGGGTGGGAAATGAAACTCGAAAGAGAGATATCCAATTGCCTGCATGAATAGCAGAAGTCCATATCGGATACCGTCGTACTTAAGCATGGGACGACCAGCGTACAGTTAAGGTGGTGATTCAGGCAACAGAATCCCGAAGCTTGGCTGGGAGGGGGCTGTGCCCAGGCGCAAACAAGTCAATACGAATGGCGAGACAATTGGACCATTCACAATCCACCACGTCTTACATTAAAACCTCAGGATGCAAGGCATGAAATCATGTTGCATTGGAATTGGTTTTCCCACACTGGCAAGCGGGATGAGAGACTTCAAAATACCTGCGACTGGGCCAGCCCCGCTACTCAACCTCCATCACTCTTCGTAGCTTTCAGTGGCCGGCAGGCCAGCTTAATCCGTTCCCACAACATGCGCTTGTACATTAAGGGACCGAGTTGGAGTTTTGAATTTACTTCAAACGACAAGCCAAAACCAACCACAGCCTCGAAGCCGAGCGCACAGCCATTATGTTTTTCGCACTCTCTTAAGACTTGCATTCCGCCTGATAGAGGAAAGTCTCATACCCTCAGCATCCGCAAAAGAATTGGACGTCTAGCTATCAAAGCCGTTCGAGTTAGAAACCGAATTCAATGGTCATCTACACAAGATCAGCCTTCCGAGCCACCAAACCGACATCCGGAACCAGTACATCAACATCTGCTTGCTGAGCTTGAGGACTCCATTACATACCTCGAGCTCGATAGCACAGAAGTAATCCCTAAAGCGGAGGAAGCTCGGTGTTCTTCCTCAGCTGCTTCTGCCCCTTCATCCACTGTCGTTCCTAGAACTTCTTCCTCCTCGTGTTACGCCAACCTTCGGTCTGGCCCACCCTTCTACGCAAACTATATACAGAATGAATATCCATCCGCGATATCTCCTGGAACTTGGGACCTTAAGTCTGCCGAAACTGCTTCAGTAACCTTTTTAGGTTGTCGACCTTTAGAGACTGACCGTACACTACCACGAACTGCAGAGCCACAGTCTCCTATGTTGTCTCGACCTTCCCTATGGCCCTTCAGCTTTATTGACACGCCTGATTGCAGTTCCTAACTGTGTAAAAGCTTATACACTACGAATACTGATCATTTCAATCCTCCGTACCAAGATTCCTTTTATATGTTCTCGCCTGTGTCGCCAATCTCACCGATCTCAGAACCCTCCCTGAACTCAAGCAATGCTTGCGCATTTGGATCATACTCCCAATGGAAGCCACTGACGTCCAATGAAGACGTCCCAACCCCGTATGCGACGCGATCGTCTGTATGGGAGAGAACTCGATCAACGGATATTATCTCAGCCTCACAATGCAGCGCTTTGACTCCACCACTCCCATGTGACTATTGTGATAAGGTTTTCACTGGATATTACCAAAGAGGAAATCTGTCTAGACATATCAATACAAACCATCCAGACGTTTCCGGGTTATCCACTAAGCTCAAGTGCAGAGTATGCCCACGAGAATACATGAGAGCAGACGCCCGAAAAAAGCATGAGTGGATGATGCATCAGTATTCAGATGCGAAGCCTCAGAAGAGAATCAAGAAGAGAACCTATACGCCTACGCTACCCACTTCACCGCTTCGATCCAATACAGAAGTCAAGCCTTCGTCGTCCACTCAGCCACTGCCCAGGACCAGCCTCTACCCTCACTCGTATCCAAGCCCGCCTGAAAATTCTTATTTCGGGGATGTGTGCGGCGTCTTGGCCATCAACCCGGATTACAAATTCGGCCTGAAACGGGAGAAGTCTCCCAGTACTCCAATCCATTGCGGTTTCTGTGACAAGAAATTCTCTGGAAGACTTCAAAGAGAAAATCGGAAATTACATATCAAGTTCAAACACTCGGGAGACGTTGAAAAATTGAAGAATTCAGCTGTTGGATGGTTTTGCGTGCATGCCTGTGGAACTTGCGGTGCAGCTTACAATCAAGTGGATGCTCTCAGAAGACATGAAATGAGGCAACACCCAGTGGCCAACGCGGACCAGAAACCGAGCAGAAGAGAACTGATAAATCTACACGCTCGTAACGATCATGTTGTTGGGCATCCGGACTTACCCCTAGTTTCACGTATTCAAGACGTTACTGATGTTACTGATGATAGGGAAGATGAGGAGGTCGAAGAAGTGAAACGTGGGAGTAGCATCTCTGCTGAGTCTTTTGTTAGCGGTATCTACGACACTAGTACGAACGGAGTCAGCGCTGGTATAGCCCGGGAGCTAACAACGCCTTCCCCCAGAGAACGGCTGACTAATCAAGAGCTGACATTCGAATGCCCACAAGATGTCATAGGAGCTGCTGAGGATCAGGTTAAACGATCAATTTCTTTGCCCTCCACAGCAAAGCCCTTAGAGAGAGATGTCGACCGCTTTTCAGATCTAATCCAACGCTCAATATCCACGCCGTATACATCTGCCGTACCTGTTCTCGCTGAGAACCCATTCATGAATACAGTTCTTCAACATAATCAAGTGTCACTCTTCTATGCTTCTAGAGGACGGCCCATCATATGGGATCCAGACAGCGGCGATATTTGCCAGAGAACAAATAGTTGGAATATACGGCACGGTCTAACAGTTGGGGTACATAGCACCACTTGTCATGCCTCCCCTAACCACCCTGGTATCCCCACGCGTTCACTCACTGTAACCATAAAACCTCCAATGCCTGGAAATGTCCCGTTCCCTGGTTTAATCAGATCAACTTCCCTCAAAAACCCCTCTTTCCTGGAATCGGTCCGCCAACTTCAGCAGATGCGCTACTCCTTGCGTTGGAACGAGCAGCAGCCCCACTATTTCCGTGGGGGTAAGGTGTCTGTATCCAGTCGAGCTCCAGTCTTGGAGGCTGCTTATCCTCCCATGAAGTGCCAGCACTGCGAGAGGGTATTCACTGGACAAAATAGACGGAGGAACCTTGACGGACATCGGAGGCGGGCGCACGGCTATGGGTCGCGGACGAAGGCTAGGAGAGGAGGGAGTCGGAAGTGGAAGAGATGTGAGGGTAAGAATAGTATGAAAGGGTGTAAAAGCCAAGGCAAGTATCTGTTCGTAGTACTGTAGTAGTCCTACTGATTCTGGTGAAGCTTTATATACTCAACAACGCAGGTAGGTTGAAGTTTGCCGCTTCGCAGGTACTTTGTAGCAGGAGTTTTAGGTAATTGCTGATCTCTTCTCTTTAATGGCTCTTATGTCGCATTCTTTGTTACGAGATATAGGGGCGGTGGTAGGGGGTGCGGAGTTGTGTACTCAAGCGTCCTACTGGGAGCTTAGGTGATGACACCAGATCCCGCGCAACGGCTGTTACGAATTAAATAGTTCTCCTTCAATTGATACTTAGTCATTCCTGAGCACTCTTACTCGGTGCAGGTGTCTTCTACCAAAATCCCAATCTCGAAACAAGTCAAAACATAACCATAACCAACATTAACTAATAGATAAAACATAACCGCAACAAGTTGGTAAACTAAAATAAACAAGCAAAAAGTCAATGCACACGCCCCTGTACATCCTACACTAGTACACTCCCTAGGGTGCTATGCACCCTTCGTCTCTAGGGTACGGAACCCCTTCGTTGAGGTTATGGCGCTCGAATAGCTACTGATCCGCCCAACCTCTGCTTAGGCACCCCTAGTCAGTCCTTCGAGCTAAAGGGCGTATTGACCTGTCTGTAGTTAAATGATCAATCACCACTCTAATATATATTCTTTAAAGCTCGCTTGCGGAAGGCAAAAAGAAATGTATTCTAAAGTAAAACGAAGAGTCTAAGACTATGTTCCTTAACCGACAATGCTGTTAAGGCAATATTCCTACAGAGATGACCCCCCCTAGTGATAACTAGATGAGCTAGGATGGATCAAATGGGGTTCACATCGCTGTTCCTCGTCAGTTAGAGTGTATTGTTTGGCTCAAACCAGGGAAACTTTTTTTTTCATGTTTTCTGCTCAATCCTGCTCAGGGCTGCTGAAGTCCAGCTCAAGCCTGCTCAAGTCCAGCTCAAGCCTTTTCAGGCCAGCTCAGCTCACTTAGGCCGTATCCTATTTGTTTCCATTCGAAAGAAGGATCCGGCATTCTAGAGAACGGTACTACATACTAAAGACGAACACTTAAACCTTTCATATTATCCTATCCGAGTCGTGTCCTGTCTGGCTACCTACCTATCTGCCTACGTATATCTATCGAATCGTATCCTACTTGCCTGCATATCTGCATGCATAAATTAATTCATTAGATAGTATCTTACGTGCCTTAGACTACCCACGTAAATAGAAAATAATATCTTACTACTTAACGTACCTCACGAGTGTGCCGGCCACACAGGTGTGCTAGCTACTCTGCTAAGACCCTACTAAAACTATCCTAACATTATAATGCCTTAACAACAATACTAATTAAGACTTTTAAAAGAAGCTAGAGTACAGCTTACACTTTAGGCTGTTAAATAAAATATAATAATTACCCTATAACATACTATAGTCTTTTATAATATCTTTTACATAACACTAAGTAATTAACGCACTAGATAGCCTTTATAAGTAAATTTCACTCTTGGATTAAGAAAGCTAAAGAAATCAAAACAAGTAATTATTTAGTATATAACATATTCTACTACTAAGTTAGCTAAGATAGAACATATATAAAATCTTACTTAATAAGCAGCTCTATCTCTAGAACTGCTAATTAAAATCATCTATAAAGTTTACTAAAGCTTTACTTGTATAGTTACTAGTAATACTATTTATAATTACTAAGCTATAGAATTCGTAGCTATAGAGATACTAAAAACAGACGCTAAAAATAGTTTTTTCTTAACAACTAGATGCTTATATAATTTAAAGCTTAGAATTCTAGAATAATTATATAGATATAGGTGTAGCTTTATAGTTAAGTTTTTAAAAGGTTCTAATTAGTAGCTCTAAAGGTAGAGCTGCTTATTAAGTAGGATTTTCTATATGTTTTATGTTAGCTAGCTTAGTAGTTTAGCTAGCTTAGTAGTAGAATACATTACTTAACTTAGCTATATAAAGATTTTAGTTAGATTATAGCTATTACTAGAACATCTAATTTTTTTATATACTAGCGTATTTTACAAGTAAGTAGTCTATATAAGTAAATAGCCTACTCTAATTAAATTTTAGTAGCTTGTACTTTAAGTAATAGTGCATCTACTAATGTACTCTATAGGCAAGTTGCTTACACACTTAAGTTACTTACTTTTACTAAGACTTTACTGTGGAGGATAAAATAGCCTGGCAGTAGCTGTTTAGAAGATCGGATGAAGTGACTCTGCTATCTAAGAGAGTTGAAGGCTCTCCTTATATACACCGAGCTTCGGAACATACTATCTCCAGATCCTGAGCCGCGTCCCAGGCTCCGAGCCCCAGCCAAGGCTCTTAGTGTACGCGACATTTACTAAACTACTTTTTTTACACTAATGCATTTCTAACAACACTACTTAGATGTGCTAAAAGAATATTAAATATAGCTTATACTTTAAGCTTTTAAATAAAATATAACACTTTTAAAGTAATATACTATAGCTATGTATAAAGTGGTTGAAAAAATAAGCGCTAACTACTAATAAAAATAAACTTATAAAATAGATAAATAACTTACAGCTAAAGCTTACTACTTTAAAAAATATTATAAGTAAAAGAAATAACACAGCTGTAAAGAAAGCCATACAACTAGCGCTACTAAAAGCCTTTACTAAAAGCACTTAAGACTTAAAACCCTTTCTTACCTAATAATCCCTCTATTAAACTATAATAAAGAGGCATTCTAAACAAATAAAAAAATAATACAGTAGAGAAAACTACACCTAAATAGCAACCTAGCTATATAGTTCTAACTATATGCTAACAACTAGAGAAACTATTATAAATATAGTAAACTCTTTTAAAAAGAAACTAGTAAAATCTTTACTAGTGTATACGCGTTTAAAGAAGCCTTTATAACAATATATAGCTTAGTAGACAAAGAAAAGATAATAACTTACAATAAGGTAAAGAATCTATCTAGACCTATAGAGCATAATTTAGAGAATACTAATTCTAATATAAGTAGACAGACTATAAATTATTATCCAGAATGTTCTATAAAAGGCTGTAAAAAAAGTTAAGGATAAATTTAATAAAACTATAAAACTAAAAAAGCTAGATAAATTTATTAAAGTAGTAATAATTGTTAATAATAGGCTCTATAAGCAAGACCTAGAAAAGAAAGGCAATGAAAGTTAAAAGACTACATTCCTAATAAAGAAAAAGAAAAACTCTTTATATAAAAGAGAACTAATAGATCTTAGCAAAGCTAAAGCTGCATAGAAGACATAAGAATAGTTTTAAGTTAACAAGCCCCTACGCCTAGTACTTATAAAAGAGGAACTAGAATGTTTTAAAAAGAAGGTGTGCTTAAATTGCAGAAAAGTAAGCTACTTCTACTAGAAATGCCTCGACTTTAAAAAGGTAAAGAATAAAAATACTATAATAGTAATAAAAGCTTACAATGTAGAAATAGAGTTAACTTTAACTAACATTAAAGTACAGCTTAACTAAGAACTCTGCTAGAAATACAAAGGTAATTATAAATAAAGCTAATGCCTTAGGGTTTACTAGAAGGTAGAGGTTTAGGACAACTGTAATGTATAAAAGGCGCGATGTTAAGCTACAATCTTAGAAGAATAGAGAGAACTATTCTAAGTCTAGGGATTTATAAAGAACATTATAAAAAAAGAAACATGTTTCCCTCTTAGCAGTATAGAAACAGAAATATTAATAGAATAACTTCTAAATTAATACTATAAGAAATAATACTAGATCTATAGCTATAAACACAAACTATAAGACTGCGAAACGCTGTATTATAAAGCAAAAACACAACAAACTATAACAATGTATGTAATTATTAAACATGTTGCAAGACAAGACTATAATATCTTAAATAAGACATAAAGATAAAACTTTTGTATAAATATTATTAATTAAAATATAAACCTACTAGTAGAAGCTAAGATCTTCTAAGTACTAAAACCTAGCAGAGAACAAGTAGACATGCTTTTACTAGCTCTTACTATAACAAGAAAAGAAATAATAGAAGTGATTAAAATTAATGTATTTTATATAAAAACATAGAGCATAAAATAGTTACTATATAATAATTAATAAACTATATAAGCTATAGTAAAAGACTCTAAGCTTAATACTAAGCTTAAGTATATTAACATTTACAACTACTAGCTCTACTAAGAGGTATAGAAAAGAAGAATTTGCATATACTAAATCTCTACTACTAATATACTAGCTAATAGCCGTACTAAGCTTTTAGTTTATTAATAGTATTAAGCTTTTATTAAATAACTAAGCTTTATTTACTTAAGTAACACTTTAAAAGCTTACTAACTTTTTTTTATTTTACACTTTTAAGTGCACTACTGTACACTTGTAGTTTATTAGTTATTTTTATACATCTTTACTTTAGTATTTACTTTGTTAAAGCTAGGGGGTGTGTTGCACGTGTCTTACGCGATAGTATACCTATGTACTACGCTATTTACTTATTAGGACTAGCTCCTTTCTTGTACAGTCGCCTACCAAAAGTCATTAGCCACTCAACGATCCGAGCTCTGCAGGGGTATAGTCAGCCCATTTAGGAAAGAGGTTACTCAACTAATTGCTACCTAAATTAAAAGATTTTTAGTTCTATAAGAAGCCTGTGTTAAGGCCTATCTTCTAGCGTTATAGTTAATTAATAGTAAGTTAACCTGCCTTTGTTTTAGATAACTTCCTTTATGCGCTTTAACTAGCTTAGGATACTCTTCCTATAATTAGCTAGTGTAATCTTTGCCTATTCCTCTTTAAGGATATCTACTATCTGCTTGCAAGTGGTAATATATTCTTGTTGCTTTAAGATGCGGAGCTTTATAATCTGCTAGAGGTTCTTAATTAGGTTTAAATTAGGACTTTATAGAGGCTAATCTATCTGTATTATGCTATAGTTGTCTATATACTTTTAGGTAGCCTTTGCAGTATAAATAGGGGCTCCATCCTGCATCTATATGCTAATACCGCGTTTCTCTGTAAGCTGCTCATAGAATGGGATGCCAACGTCGTGCAGAATCTAGTAGTATTTGCTAGCATTGTTTTGCTTGCCTTTCTAGTTAATAAACAGCTCTAATTTAAAATTAAGAGAGATTACACTAAATACAGAGACTGTAGTCCTTCTAGACTTAAATGTAGGCTTTAGGTACTAACTCTTTGTCACGGTATCCTCCCCGGATCCTAGACATAACTGTATTAGACGCGTACTAGAGTATTATTAGTGCACGTCTAACATAAACACAACACAACATAGACATAAACTTAAGCATAAACTGCCTTAACACTAACTAAACCTAGAATAGGCTTAATTTATACTTAAAGCGCTTAGACTTTTAAGC